ATATGGCGTTGACAGAAGCTGCTAAAGAGGGAATCTGGTTGAAAGGGCTAGTTGGTGATCTTGGTCTGCATCAAGAGCAAGCTATTGTGTTCTGTGATAATCTGAGCGCTATCTGTTTAGCCAAGGATCAGGTCCATCATGAGAGGACCAAACATATTGATGTGAGGTATCATTTTCTGAGGAATGAGAAGAAAATCAAGGTGGAGAAAGTGGGCACTGCTGATAATCCTGCTGATATGTTCACCAAGCCGGTCCCACATAGCAAGTTCCGACATTGTTTGGACTTGCTTAACATCAGAAGCTGTTAGTAGCCTTGCAGGGAAATTCTGAAGAAGAGGGGGAGGTCTGGCACAATCAAGAGTGCGTCTGAAGAATCAGTATGGAGAATTCAAGTCAAGGTGGAGATTTGTTAAAATGCCTTGAATCTGACTCATCACAGCTCCGAATCCGGAGAAGTCCGTTTTCTGAGAAGTCCGTTTTCGGAGAAGTCAGAGTTCGGAGAAGTCAGAGTTCGGAGAAGTCAGAATCCGGAGAAGTCAAAATCCGGAGAAGTTAGTTGGGCTTCTAATTATCTGTTAACTCTGTAGTTTTGGGCCTAAGTATGTTAGGGTTTTGTCAAGCACTATTTATATGGGTGCTACCACAAACCCTACGTGATGTACTCTGTTTTGCCTCTCCTTCAGAAATAAAACTGCTCCCCCTCTTCCCCCGTGGACTAGCCAACACAACGTTGGTGAACCACGTTAAAATCTGTTGTCGCTTTTCTGTTTGTTTTTTGATTACTCAATACCCTATTCCGTAATAACACTCGAAATTTTTAAAATTAGAAAGAAATCAACCATACAATTTTGTTCCTTGAAAGAAAATAGATATAATGCACTTTGAAGTAGAGCTGCTTCAAAGTATTTGTGATCTCTATCAAGTTTATTTATTATACTATGTGGTAAAGCTTGAACATTTTTAAGTTTGTTCTATTTGGTCACAGATAATCTGGGAGACATCGTTTTATGAAATGTGTTTCATATTAAAATTATGGCTTAACTGCATTCATATAAATATCTTCTCGTCTTGATTTGATTTAATAGATATATTAAAGATATATAACTGTACGTGTATGATTTATTTAAAAAATGATTAAAATATATCAATAAAATAGATTTTTTAAAAAGAAATAAAATAAGGGTCTGTTTGGCATACGGAATTGGTGGAATTGGAATTGAATTGGAATTGGGATTCCATGTGATTCAATTCCATAGAATTAAATTTACACAATATCAATTCATTTTTTGCATTATCAATTCCAAATCCACACAATATTTGTGTTACCATTACCAAACACCAGGATTGGAATTGAAGTCCTCAATTCCAATTCCATAATTTGAATTCCTTGTACCAAACGGGACCTAACAGTTTTTTTAGAATAGCTCAATAAAAAGGATAGTTTATACAGAGTATTAAGAAATTCTTAGGAGAAAATTTAAATTTGGAAGTATTATAATCATATTTTATTCTTCTTAAATGTAAATTAATTCTATGTCATAAAAATAGTTACATACTCCCTCCGTCCTAAAATTTTCTTTCCAGAGCACTATTCTAACTTCACGGGAATTTATATTTATTTGTGTTTTTTCATGGCCTATATGATAAAATAAAATATTCTTGTCACCACTTGTTTTGTTGAACTTTTGATGTAGTTTTTAAATATGTATATTTTATTTTTTATTTCTATACCAATATTTAAATAAAATAAATTGAAAAAACTTGGGATTTTTCTTCGTTTTGCGCAACGGGAAGAAAGATATAGGACGGGGGCAGTAATTCATATAATCATAGTTTTGGACTCAAGCCCAAAAAAGAAATTGACCAAAATCACAGTTTCTTTCTATGTTCTACAACACCCTAACAGCAATCTCCCACTGAACGGGAGTGAGAGTGCCATATTCCCTTCGGCTGCGTAATTCAATTACTCTTATTTAAAAGAGTTTAAATTTGAGTTCCTATTTAGGAAATACGGAGTATGACATTACTTTTACTTCTAGGAGTCCTAGTTTGGTCCTTTCTCCTTTTTAAATATGGACCTCATGACCTTGTAAGCATCACTCTTCATGGAGTGAGCTAACGGATTGATTATTGATACTATATGCGTTTCTCCAAAGAAAAATGCAGCAACGGTGCAAATATGCAAGGGGTATCCATCCACGAATCTCAATGACTCAATTTTATTTTTATAATTTGTGCGTAATAATAACGAGTATCCTTTTGAGTGATATTTATGCGTGAAGAACTTCAATAATTTATATGAATGTCATGATTTAGTTTGTAAGTCATATTTTTGAGTAAAATTTATTCTTCTCAATTTTTTAAAATTGGATGAAAGTGAGATTCGAACTCGTGACCTCTTGGTGAACAACACTTTGATACCATGCCAAAGAATCAATTCAATCAAAAGCTCAAATTTGTAGTTGAAGGCCCAAGAAAGTTAAGTACTCTAAGAGAACCTACATCAAATGGATGTCAATGATGCTTTTCTTCATGGTGATCTACATGAAAAAGTTTCCATGGCTCTTTCCCCTGGGAACACAACACAAGAAATAAACTTCAGTTCTCCTATTCTTTAAGCTTGATGTTTTAACAGAGTACAAAAGCTGACTTGTTTTTGGTTGTTTTTGTTTTCATATCTATTAACATAAAGTTAATATGTTTAACTGAACTCTTTTTTTCCACATCTCTCAATATTGAGTTAATGTATTAAAAGCACTATGTTGCCTTAAGGAAGAGGTAATGCATTTATTGACATATCTTATTCTTTTTCTGTTTTATATTACACTCTTTATAGAGCTCAAATTTCTTTGCTGAACAAAGTTGATTAACAAAAGGATTATATATTTTGATGTCTTCAATAAAACTATAGTGCCGACACGCTTAAAGGCATGCAATCTTACTCGGGTAATATCCACTTCATGAACTCTATTAAACGAAAAACTACTGCTTAATACTTTGTGTAATAATCAAAATACAGATAAGTGAGATAACTTCCCTTATATGAACTCGTAACCATCTATACTGAAACAGATACTATTCACGGATACACGGGGTTTTCATATGTTTCCCCCAAAATATGATATTATCAAGCTACTGAATCAAACAATATGTAGTTTCCTTGTGAAGACTATATTATATTTCCTTCTATGTTGTCTGTCGTCATACATAGTTACACTTGCAAAAAATAAGAATGCTAAAGCCAATCAGTTGTTGAGACCTTCTGAAATGGCATTGAGGAGAAATCCGGGTGGAAAGAATGGGAGGCGTTTAACCCTTTGGATGCTTATCCGCGTTGGATTTTTTTGTACCCCAGCAAACACTTCAAGCTCTGCCACGTATTAATGCAGCTTATAAGGAAACCAGGAATCATCTTTTCTCATGTCGTTAATGTAGTTAATGTTTTAACAAAATGAGCAACGCGAGTGTTTCTATTTAGTACCTTCATGCATTTGGGTAGATCACGATCATCGGTTCTGGAATGAGACTGGAAAAAAAAGGGAATTGTAAATGAGAATCTTTATCTTTGTAGATTATATATATGGTATGCATCACCACAAGAATGTACGAAGTTTTGTGGATTCCAATCAATGCAGCATATCGAACCTTTTAAATTCAAAAGATTGTTGTTACCTGTGTGATAAGGTCACAGGAGACATGCTGACCCATGGAAGATAATGTGAGGATAACCAGCACTGCAGCTACGGTTGACGGCCAGTAACTCAACTGCTCACAGCCAAGTAGTGTCACTAGTGCCAGATACTTCACTGTGTTTTCCACCGTTTCACTAGCTCTAGCAGCTTTCAGGTAGAACCTGCGTCGTTTAAGGAAATCATAAATAGTGGTGGTAACTAAGGCATGCTTAAGGATCTGTACATCTAGACAAGAAGGGTTTCTTCACATAAACTTACCATAAGAAGTTGTAAATGGTGGGGAGGAAGCACTGGAAGCTAAGAACCTCTTGCACTACCCACTCCATAGCCACCACTTCGGCTCTGCTGTATACCTTGATTCCTACCTCAAATTTCTCATTGCGAATACTGCATTACCAAATTGAATGTCAGAAATGTGGTTTATCAGTAGGTTACATTACCATATCTCACAGACAGGGAAATTGGCTGTTTAGGAAAGCTGTTTTCAGAGTGTGATTTTGTTTGTTTTATGAAACTCAGTTAAAGTAAGACTCAAAAGAGGGGAAAGATCAGATGAGCGAGCTGTGAGCCTAACCAGTTCAAAGGCTGGTTTTCTTCTATTCTGGTGGCAAGGGTTAGGCAAGCAATGCCAGCTATTTGAAGTTTCTTCTCATCTCTGAAGTATCCTTTTGTTAGAAACCGGTCGAAGAGGTTAACTCCTAAGAACATTGTCTCCTTTTGAAGTTCATTCTTTGCAGCTTGCTGCACAAGAGTCAATGATCAAGCAACCATTGAAATAACATCAGAATTCAGGCATATAATGCAATGCACTTTTAGAGGGTTACACCATAACACTAATGGAGTTCACGAGGTGGAAAATGATAGTAGAAATGTAGAAAGCCACAGATATAAACCATTTGGGAGTTGGGACCATATCCAACTTCCTTTTAAAAGGATGAAAATAAACAGACCCTTTAGGAATGCTTATTCGAGTTCATTTAATCCTACACCCACTAATAAATGTAAATAATAAAACATCACTCCAAATTTCAACCCCATACAAATCATATACTCTGTATATACTACAATAAATGCAATAACCTTATAAAGAACGAATACGTTCAGGAGGAACATATATGTGGAGGGTATAAAGAACGGGATAGTTATCATCAAGCCATTTTTATTATCAACAAGTTACCTGGACAATCCAATGGACCATCTTCAGCCGCTGCTGAATGACCAGCTCGCCATAGCATGTGTCCGAGCAGTACTCCTTGGTGTAGTCTCTTAAATACACTTGCCTTCTCTCTCTGCTTCTAAGCATCCTGTAGCTCTCTTCATCCTCTTCTCCCAATCCCAACTTCAGGCAAACAATAAAAATGCAACATCATTGAATTGAGGGCTTGAGATGTACGAATAAAATGTAATCCGGAATGATAATGACATGGAATAATTGATGCAAATTAAGCAGGATTTGGAGTTAATCTAAATTCCACAATTACTTAACAAATTCCGAATAAGATTAGATATATTGATTGCCAAACCAAGCTAAATGATGCTTTGAGTTGTAAAAATGCCTGAATTCTGAATGTCTTACAGTGATCTCTCCGCAAATGGTGTCATCTCCAAGGTATGCCGAGTCTTCCAGAGCATTGGTTGACCAGTGGAACTCTTGGCTGAACTGACGGAACAACTGGAAAGTATGTGAAGGACAATCCTCACTACTATATTGCTCAGAGAATTGGCTACCTGAGTCGCACCAAATTGACGGGCTATAATCGGAGAGCTCCAATTGGGAATCTTCCAGGAGAATATCCGTCTGAAGCTCAGAGTACGCAGAGGAGTAATCATCTAAAACCTCATCGCCGTGAAATAACTGCTCCGAGCATTCCAGATCAAAGTCGGTTGCAAGCGGTTTCTGTATGCCCCGCGCACCAGATTCCGGCTTAGACACCTCGTCACCAAATGCTCTGCTCTCTGCAAATTTCGATTCAGCAGCGGACTCTAAAGCAGAACTGAGCGAAACGACATCGTTTTCAATGAAATCAAACGCATCCTCACTTCGTTTCACTTTCTCCGCCGTGATATTTGATACTTCGCCGGAAAATTTTGTCTGACTCGAAATCTCGCTCTCGTCGATTTCCTTTGCCATTCCTGTTACGCTCTCGTTCTGACTCTCGGACCTCCTAGCTTTGACCGGTAGTGAAAATCTATCAATGCTGGAAACCTCCGATCGAACGGCCGCCTCGGAATCCTCAATTCCGTTCGCATTTTCAGGCTTCTTCAGTTTGAACTTCAACTTCAATTCGCCGTAACCTCTACAAGCTCCAGAATTCGACTCCACGCACGAGGACTCGGACAACTCCAATTGAACGTCCTTCTTCTCAGTTTCGCCGGATCTAGACTTAACTTCCGAGCAACGCACTGAAGATATTCCGGACGCGAATGAGGCATCAGTCGAGACGACGAGCATAGCAGAGCGGAGAATCGGAGAGAACTTAGAACGACATCTACGAGGAAGCTTAGATCGTAGGTTCCTCTTCACGGCGAAATTGAGCTGTAACTGTGAAGGCGGCGGCGGATCGAGCTCGGCAACCGCTTCTCGGAACTGCTTCCGCTTCATTGCAGCTGAAGCGAAACAAATTCGTTTCAGAGAAATGTAGAGTTCAGCAGTTGAAGTTTGGCTTGAAGAAGAAGTTTTGAAATGAAGATTGGGAGCTGAATTGAAGCTGTTGGTGTTGTTAGAGAGGGGAGAGGAGAAGCCGTTAACTCAGTTCGTTGCTGGGAGAGAGAAGAAAAAGGCAGCGGGTAAGATTTTATACGATGCGCTTGAGTGGGCCCACTTCTTCAGTCACGACGATGCACGAATCACTTCTGTTTGGGCACGTTACTTTAATGATTTAATATTGTAAAATGCTAGGAGTACACCAAAAGTGTACTCCAAACATCCCCACCCCCTCCATCACCACAAAAAAGGCAAGAAATATTCAAAAAAAATTAAAATAAAAAAAAAATAAAATGAATGGTAGAAAGGGGAGTGGTGTACATTTGGGGGTACACACATTTGTTGTACCCATAGCATATCCCTTTAATCTTCTCTCAATTACTTTTTTCTTTTGGAAAATACCATGACAAAATCAATACTCTCAAAATTTTTTTATTCCATTTTCACTGTCTTCAATGTTGCACTTTAACCATTAATATCTATTTTTATACGTAGATATATTTTTATAAAAATTTTATATTTCAAAACTATATTTCATTAGAATATGATGGTGTAAATATAATTGGGTGGGTTGACCGGGTTTGACCTGGACACACTGGACCCGTAATATAAAACACACAACAGGAACACAAAGTATGACCTAGACCGGGTAAATCTCCTCAGTCCAAATTATATTTCTTACTCTGTCTCAAGAGTGTACTATTTTTAGTGAGATAAAGAATGGATCACCTCCTCTATCCGATATCATCATATTTATAGAGGAGGATTTGTGACCTTCCCCTGTTCACCCATGGACAAAATAGGAAACCCGGAGGAAGGTCACTGTACATAATCTAATCAATGTTCAATCATAGACTTGCTACTAATACAACCAAGAAGCACTATTCAATCAATGACTATAACATGGATATTCTCAATCCAATCAACCCTGCAAGATGACAAACATCCCTTTCACTGTTTGCCTCGTGATGGACGAACGCCGGGGTGGTCCCTCGATCTTTGACGTGGTTCACCATGCCTGAGAGACTGGACCAATGTTTGCCAAGTAAGATGATATGACCGGTCACCTTTTCTCAAAGGTTAACCGATCATTTCTTGAGCTCAACCCGTCTCTTTGTTCTTCTGGAATATCCTTTGTAACATTAGGTGACATTTTGGCTATCGCCCAAAATGTGACCGGTCACTTTTTTAAGGAAAGTGATCGGTCAACTTTTGACCCGTCTTAATCGAAGAGTTAACCTCATTTGGTGATTGATGAAAGTGACCAGTCATATTTTGACCTGTCCCTTTTGATTGTCCGAGCCGGGTATAGGGATATACCCATCAAGAAGTCCTCCACTTACCGGCCTTGTGAGAAAATCATCAAGGGCAGGAAGTATATTTATATTGACCTATCACTTTTGAAATTATCAAGTCATTCCCATGACCTATCCTTCTTTGATATCATCAAGTTATTTCCATGACCTGTCCTTCTTTGAAATCATCAAGTCATTCCCATGACCTGTCCTTCTTTGAAATCATCAAATCTTTCCCATGACCTGTCCTTCTTTGAAATCATCAAGTCATTCCCATGACCTGTCCTTCTTTGAAATCATCAAGTCATTCCCATGACCTGTTCTTCTTTGAAGTCATCAAGTCATTCCCATGACCTGTCCTTCTTTGAAATCATCAAGTCTTTTCCATGACCTGTCCTTCTTTGAAAGTATCAAGCCTTTCCCTTGACCTGTCCTTTTTTGAAACAATCTAGCCTTTCCCTTGACCTGTCCTTTTTTTGAAATTATCAAGCCTTTCTTGACTTGTCCTTTTTTTGAAATTATCAAGCCTTTCCCTTGACCTATCCTTTTTTTAAAATTATCAAGCCTTTCCCTTGGCTTGTCCTTTTTTTGAAATAATCAATCCTTTCCCTTGACCGAAAATGAGGTTTTGGGTATCATTTCTTTCTTCTAACCTGGCACTTTGGGGTTCCTCAGATTTGGCACTTTGCGGATCATCACACGTATCACTTTGGAGTTCATCAGACTTGGCGCTTTGGGGTTCATTAGACCTGGCACTTTGGAATTCATCAGACCTGGCACCTTGGAGTTCATCAGACCTGGCGCTTTTGGGGCTCATCGGACCTGGCACTTTGGAGATCATCAGACCTGGCACTTTGGAGTTCATCAGACCTGGTACTTTGGAGTTCATCAGACCCGATACTTTGGAGTTCATCAGACCTGGCGCTTTTGGGGTTCATCGGACCTGGCACTTTGGTAATCATCAAGTCTTCTTCTCAGACCTGTCACTTTTGAAATCACCTAGTCTTTCTCTCTGACTTGTCACTTTTGAATTATTGGGAAATCCAAATGTAAACTCTAAATAATTAACCGGTCTTCTGCCACGTAAGTCCTCTTAGTCCTCCTAGAGTACCCGGTCAAGTGCCTGGTGCACACCCATTCAAGAGTAACCGGTCAAGTACCCGGTTATATGATGCAAATCTCATATGATAACTGGGTTAAGTCCCAAGAGTGGAAGGGTTTACATAAGAGTTCTCGAGAGGGTTCTAGGAAAAAGAAGGTCGGCCCTCTTCAAATGGAATGGTCACCAATTAAGGAGGCTTTCATGGTCCGGTCGCATTCCTTTGTGCCTGGTTGAACTTCTTGAATGGTTAAGTTTCTTGCATGGTTATTTTCTGGCCTGGTCCCCCTTTGAAGTTGATTGGTTAGACTTGCATGCTTGTTTTCTTGCTTGGTCCCCCTCTATGGAATTATTTTAAGAATGTCCAGGTCATCTCATGTCCAGGTCTTGATAACATCCAGGTCTAGTAAGCTCTGTTGAAACTTTAATTGGTTGAAACTTTTGAAGGACGTCCAGGTTTAGTAGGTCTTGGAAACGTCCTGGTCTAAACTTTTATTCTCATCAACTCCTTAAAACGTCCAGGGCACTTTGTGCAAGTCCTGAAAACGTTCGGGTCATCCCATGTCCTCGCTAAGTGCAAGTCTTGAAAACGTCCGGGTCATTCCATGTCCTGGTCAAGTGCATGTCCTGAAAATTCCGGGTCATCTCATGTCCTTGTCAAGTGCAAGTCTTCAAAACGTCCGGGTCATCTCATGTCCTGGTCAAGTGCAAGTCTTGAAAACGTCCGGGTCATCTCATGTCCTGGTCAAGTGCAAGTCTTGAAAACGTACGGGTTATCTCATGTCCTGGTCAAGTGCAAGTCTTGAAAACGTCCAGGTCATTTCATGCCCTTAAGAAACATTTTAAGAACGTCCAGGTCATCTCATGTCCTGGTCTCCAGACTTAAAAATATCCAGGTCTAGGGATGGCAACGGGTCGGGTTCGGGTCGGATAGTACTATACCCGAACCCGACCCGACTTTTAAAACCGAAACCCGAACCCGACCCGAAACCCGACCTTTAAAGCCAAAAATCTGACCCGACCCGAACCCAACATTTCAACCCGAAACCCAAACCCGACCCGAACCTGACTTTTAACCAATAATCAATTCGACGTACCCCAATAATTTTGAAAAGAGTAAATCTAATTTTTTTGTTTCTCTTTTTTTATGTCTCCTTTTTTATTAAGGGATTATAAAAATGATTATAAAAGGCATATTTGATATAGTAACACTTTGTCAAGAGATTATACGGAGTGCTCATTATATCCATAGATAGACTTTTATGTAATAAAATATTCGGGTTTTAGTCGGGTCGGGTGAGGGTTCGGGTTGGGTCGGGCAAAATTATAAATCCACACCCGACCCGACCCGATGTCGGGTTCGGGTAAAAAATTTCGGGTTGGGTTCGGATTATTTTATTTTCGGTTCGGGTTCGGATATTTTAGTAGTTGGTCGGGTCGGTTAAGCTCAGGTTCGGGTTGAATTGACATCCCTATCCAGGTCACCTTATGCTCGACTTGTCTTCTGATCCGGTTTACTTCCAGGTTGAAATGTAGTAGACGTCTAGGTTGAATTTTGTCCTGGTCCAATCCCAATGGTTTGGTCATGTTAAGTCACTAGTAGGGATGGCAATTCAACCCGAACCCGAGCTTAACCGACCCGACCGACTACTAAAATATCCGAACCCGAACCGAGAATAAAATAATCCGAACCCGACCCGAAATTTTTTACCCGAACCCGACATCGGGTCGGGTCGGGTGTGGGTTTATTATTTTACCCGACCCGACCCGACCCCGCACCCGACCCGACTCAAACCCGAATATTTTATAACATAAAAGCTTATCTATGGATATAATGAGCACTCCGTATAATCTCTTGACAAAGTGCTACTATATCAAGTATGACTTTTATAATCATTTTTTTAATTTCTTAATAAAAAAATGAGACACAAAAAAAAATTAGATGTAATTTTTTAAAATTATTAGGGTATGCCAAATTGATTATTAGTTAAAAGTCGGGTTCGGGTCGGGTTCGGGTTTCTAGTTGGAATGTCGGGTTCGGGTCGGGTTCGGGTTTTGGCTTAAAAAGTCGGGTTTCGGGTCGGGTTCGGGTTTTAGTTTTTAAAGTCTGGTCGGGTTCGGGTATAGTACTATCCGACCCGAACCCGACCCGTTGCCATCCCTAGTCACCAGTCTTGCCTCAAATTTTTGTTCAGGTGCCGGGTCAAAATATGACCGGTCAAAAATAAGTTTTTCTAAACTTGTCTGATTTCATCAAATTCGAAAATTAAAAAGTGACCGGTCACTTTTTTCAAAGTTGACAGGTCAAGTTTAGAATTTTTCCGTCCGCCTTTTTCTGTCAATCTAGAACGTTAAAAAAGTGACCTGTCACTTTTCGACCATGCCCTTTTTCTTATATCCATCTGGCCTGCATGTCATGTTCAACACCGACCTTGATCGAACTTCGAATGAATATTTCGAAATAGTTTTTACTTCAAGTCTCAACATCAAGACCCGACCCATCTTTGGAGATTTTGACCATGTCCTATGATCGCAAACCCTCTCCAAGGTCCAGCCTTCTTCCAGGCAACACCCTTCTTCCATGGCCCCTCTTCCAGGGTTTAAGTATTTTAATGTGTCATTCTCTAATTATTAGGTTGACCTAGCCAACCTAATCTTCCCACATGGGGGTATGCCGGTGAGAACCAGCCCTCATCCAATCCTGCACGTCCATATATTATGTGTTCGGAAATTCTAGTCTTCCCTATACATTCCGATCCACAAAGGATGGCTCATACAAGACGGTAATATTTTTTTGGCATCTTTTCTAACCCTTCCCGACCAAAAAGTCGGTAGGGATCCATGTAAGTATGGATGCGAATCCTCTTCCGGATCCAGCCTGTCTCAAGGCGATACCTCAACATCAAGGCCCCTATCTCAAGGGTTTCTCTTTTTTTTGCTATCATCTCATGCAACGCTCCAGGTCCTAGACATCAAGACTCATCTGTCTACAACAAGCTTAGTAATTTTGACCACATCTTATCTACCCTCTCTTCTTTCCCTGATCATATTCATGTGGGTGGATTCAAGTACTCGCCTATGGGTCTTCCTCAAGCCCCGTAACGAATATTTCACCCACTTCCCCTTTCAAGGTCATCTCCCTGAGCACGACCCTCACATTCCGGCAATCTGTTGTGTTGTGAGAGTCAGATTGGTGGTAGGTGCACCACTTCTCTGTCCAAGGCTGCTTGGGTTGTTCTCCTTTCTTCTCATCCTTTATTTGATGAACAAACCCATCATATGTGGCCCTCGGCTTGGACCCTCCCACCTGGTCATCCTTCTTCGGCTTATCAATTTTCACCTTTGTATAGCCTTCCTCCAGTTCCCGTTTGCTCTTGTTTAGGACTTCCGCCTCGGCATACTCCCATGCTGTATTGTAGGCTTCCTGAAAAGAGGAGGGTGGCCTTCTACAAAATTCAGTGTAGAGGTCACCCGACCGGAAGACATTCATCAGCAAAGACATGGCCGTCTTGTCGTCCATCTCTTCTACTTTGTCGACCTCGTCCCTCCAGCGAGTTAAAAACAGAGTCAAGGACTCCTTCTCCCTCTGCCCTACCGTGTTAAGGTAGGTGAACTTTTTCCTTTTGATGCAGTTGTCCTGGTACTTCTTGCAAAAAGTCTCAGCAAGTTTTTCGAAGGACCCGATCTTACCATGTCGAAGGCTGTTAAACCATTCCACTGGCCTCCCTCTCAAGGATGAGAAGAAGAGTATGCATTCTTCAGCATCAATACACCTGGCCATTTGCGCTGCATTATGGAAGGTGTCAAGGTGGACGTTTGGATCCTCCTTTTCAGTGAATTTCTCCACGTCCAGCTTGACCTTCCGCCTCAAGTTTTGTGCATGTACCCTAGCTGAAAAGGGTGATTTGGCCAGGGTATGCTTCTTCGCTATGCTCCCTATCTTGTCCAGGTCATCCTCATCGTATGGGAGCCTAGTATATGCCGATGCTCTGGGCTGGCTTTCAGCTTCCTCCTCGTCTAGGTGAATCATCTCAGATTCCCTAGAACGACGAGATCGAGCGGGACGACTCCCGCCAAGTCTTTCCATTGCGCTAGTCCGGCCCATCTCAGGACCAAGACGTAGCTTGGCAGAATTGCGGGGCCCATCCTCTTTGTTCCCTAGGCATTTGAACGCTGAATCTCGGGTCTTGCTGGGTTTAGCTATAGCCTTACCCTTCCTTCTGCGAGCCGCCTCCTGCTCCGCCTCGTCAACTTCATGGACATTTGAGGGCGCTGCTTCGTTCATGGTCCCCGTTAAATTTACTGGGTGTATAGGGACCATTCTTGGGACAAATGTTGACGGGGTCGATACCGGGGGTGGCATATGGCTCATGATAGGTGGTATCATTCCGGGTAGGCAAATGGCATGAATCCCCTGCCTGTTGCATCATGGCCATCACTTGTTGCTAGCCTTGCAGAGCTTGAGCATTTGCCGGGTCAGCAGCAAATTGAGCCAAACCTGATGGGTATGGCGTGAATGCTCCACCAGGTGTTGTTATCGAGCCTGAGAACATCGTTGTTGTCGGTACTGGAGTTGGGGTCGACATAATTGGGATCATCCCAAGCGATCCCATCGGGCTGATCGGGGCAAAAGTCTCCCCCATGCTTGTCATCATCAGTGGGATGGCGGGAGTGCTCTCACTCACAGCCTGGCTTGAAACAACGGTGTGGTTGCTTGAAGACATGATAGTGGATATTTCGTGGGGGTAAAGTTTTGACCTGGTCAAAAAACTTTTACAAATCATGTCCCACGGTCGGCGCCAAAAATGATGGTGTAAATATAGCTGGGTGGGTTGACCGGGTTTGACTTGGACACACTCGACCCGTAATATAAAACACACAACAGGAACACAAAGTATGACCTAGACCGGGTAAATCTCCTCAGTCCGAATTATATTTCTTACTCTGTCTCAAGAATGTACTATTTTTAGTGAGATAAAGAATGGATCACCTCCTCTATCCAATATCATCTTATTTATAGAGAAGGATTTGTGACCTTCCCCTGTTCACCCATGGACAAAATAGGAAACCCGGAGGAAGGTCACTGTACATAATCTAATCACTGTTCAATCATAGACTTGCTACTAATACAACCAAGAAGCACTGTTCAATCAATGACTATAACATGGATATTCTCAATCCAATCAACCCTGCAAGATGACAAACATCCCTTTCACTGTTTGCCTCGTGATGGACGAACGGCGGGGTGGTCCCTCGATCTTTGACGTGGTTCACCATGCCTGAGAGACTGGACCAATGTTTGCAAAATAAGATGATATGACCGGTCACCTTTTCTCAAAGGTTAACCGATCATTTCTTGAGCTCAACCCGTCTCTTTGTTCTTCTGGAATATCCTTTGTAACATTAGGTGACATTTTGGCTATCGCCCAAAATGTGACCGGTCACTTTTTTAAGGAAAGTGACCAGTCAACTTTTGACCCGTCTCAATCGAAGAGTTAACCTCATTTGGTGATTGATGAAAGTGACCAGTCATATTTTGACCTGTCTCTTTTGATTGTCCGGGCCGGGTATAGGGATATACCCATTAGAATATATTGATATTAAATTTGTATCAGAGTAAATTTCATAATTGGTCCTTTATAATAGGGGGTTTCCCTATTTAGTACTCTATTATCAAATATTATCCCAGTGGTCTTTCTTTTAGGGGTATCTTTCCACAAATAGTTCCTTTTTTGATTTTCAATCATGTTGGTGTTAATTTGGGGGCTAGAAGTGTAATTTCACAATGATAATATATATTTTTTGTCTTACACAATTCCAAAGGTTGTTCCGTTTGCGTCGTTTCTGAATTAGAGTTGCTTTCTACTGCAACCATAGTCTACACATGTGGTTTTTTCGTCGGAATCCTAGCCCAGAATCATAGTCATTATTTTTGTGTTATCAGCTTAACCAATATCAGAACACGTCACTAGACATAAAGTTGATGTCAAATTATACTTTTAGCCTTTAAATCAACAGCAACATGGCAGAAGATCAAAAAAAGGACCATTTGTGGAATAGAAATCATCCTAAATAGGACTAAAACATAGAGAAAAGTACCAAAATAGGACTTTCATGTTTTTTTCCCGGAATAGGACTTTGCACTGTGGTAATGTGACTTTGCATTGTGGTAATGTAGCAGTCTACATGTGCAAATTACTATACTTTTTTGGTAATGTATATGACCATGTTTGGTAATGTAAGTATTATTTCGGGAATAAAAACATGGAAGTCCTATTTTGGTATATTCTCAATGTTTTAGTCCTAGTTTGGTCTTTTTCCCTTTGTGGAAAGGCGTCCTTAAAAAAAGGACTACGGGGGTAATATTTGATAATAGAGGACTAAATATGGAAACCCCCTGTTATAAAGGACCAATTATGAAATTTACTCTTTGTATTATAATAAAATACTACCTCCATCCCAGAGTATTTGTCCACTTTCATTCTTACATACTATCCAATACACTTCTTTAATCCATTTTATCTTGTAATTTGTATATTAAAAAATTATAGAAATTATATATTAATAATCTATATGTTAAGACAAATCAAACAAGATCACACATGACTATATTTAGGCTTACACATTGAGAAAATTTGATGAGTTAAAGTGCTTAGATGAACAGTTCCAAAAGTCAAAACTGGACGAATACTCCGGGACGGAGGGAGTATATATTTCCCATAAATTAAAGTCAACGTTTACGAATTTTGACCAAGAAAAGTCGAATTTGAAGAACATCTTAGGACGGAGGGATTACTTAATGGCTGTGTTGGAAAATAGCTTTTCGAATAGCTTTTGGCATCTTTGACTGAATTTGGCTTGTTTGACTTATCGAACCGCCAAAAACATTGTTTGGCTAATAACTTTTTCACTTGCCTTTTTGATCCGAAATGCCAAAATCTCAAAAGCCAAGGGAGTAACATTTGAACTTGGCTTTTAGAAAAATTATTATTTTTTAAATCATTTTTCTTGAAATATACTCCGTATTTTATAATATATGTAAAAAATAAAAATAAAACTTTATGAAAATCAAAAATAAAAAAAGGTTAAAATTTTAAAATTTCAAAAACAAGATATTAGAAAATCAAAATTAAAAATCATTAAAAATTTATATATTAATAATTTCTTATGAATTATATGAAAATGAAGTTTTATACTACACATAATAACGATTTAATTTTTACATGTAAAAAAATAAAAAATAAATATCGTGCAAACATTTTAACAAACATTTTACATATATTGAAACAGCTAATTTTACCAAACATTTTTAACGATCAGCCTACTCATCCTGCAGTCAAACCAACTATATTAAACAGCTATTTAGAACAACCGATACAAACAGCCAACAGCTGACAGCCAACATCCAAACAAGGCACAGTTCTGGGACGGTTCTTGTTCCAGAACCGCCGGTTCCGGTACCGCCACCCATAAGCACCGTTACCGTCACCAGGCCGGATGGTACCGGTTCCAGTACCCATACCGGCGGTTCTGATTCCGCACCGACCAGTTTCGGAAACCCCCTTAATTTTTTTAAAATTTTTAAAAGTGTAAATGTGTAATTGTTAAAGAAAATAATGAAATAAAAGATCTAAAAATGTAGTTATTGAAATATTGAAAAATGAGTAATACAAGAACAACTACATTTAATATCTTGACGGTTCAAAAAAGCGACGAGGTAAAGAACCGTAAAGAAACTCTCGAAGGAGCTTATATATCGCTCACATAAAAAACTAATTACATTAACATAAAAAAAGTTTAAAACTTATTCCTCGGAACTAGGGCTTCCATCTATGGTTGCATTCATGTAATGTTCAGAATTGAATTCATACCCTGACTCTTAAGCTCGACGTCTTGTCAAGAGCCAATCTTGGTTGCAAACAAGTTTTTCTAGAGATGCAGCGCTAAGACAACTTCGATAGTCGGTTATAATGCGATGGATTTGTGACGCACTAAATCCGTCGCAAATAAATTGTCGCATTTTTGAACTTTGCGATGGAATAATGGTCTTGTCGCAGTTTTGCGACGGCCTCCACGAAGGAAATACCAGATCTATTGTTTGCGACGGGATGTTAAATCCGTCGCAAATTCCGACGGAATCTGCGACAAACGTTTCTGCGTTTTTAAAGTGTTTTTTGCGACGGAAATTGCGACGGAATAAATCCGTCGTAGATGCACCAGAGTTTAGAACTAGAACCTATCTCAATTCCTTATGAGTTATGACCAACAACACAATAACAATAAAACAATACAGCATATAAACAACAACAATGAAATAACACAGAATTTGTCAAATTCATTAAAACATAAATCTTTTCTCAATTCATGATCAATCACAACAGAGTATTCATTAAAACACAATTCAATCCAATACATTTTCAATCACAGCACAATATTTAATAAAACACATAAATGTCATAACTTATTCATGCCACACAACCAGTTCCTGAGCCTCCCATACCATCGTCAGGGTCTCGAGGTGTCGGAAGATTTCCACCACACATTCTTTGAATTTGTTCAGCAACTGTGAACTCAATCTTATCCAACCTTGCCTTCATGACCTCATTCTCCGCTCCCAGCCACTCAATCTCTGAAATATCACTATATAGTACTCTTTCTTCTGCCTTGATATCTAGGTTTAAGGGGTTTCATTTATTCGGAAAGATCTCCGACTCCCTTAATCCTATTCTTTTGATCAAAGCCACCAACTAGCTCAAACCAAATCTCCTGATCCGTGACTTTAAGGCCTGACTCCTAAGCCATTTGTTTCAATTGTACAAAATCAGCCTGTACAATGAAATACATAATGAATATAATAAACATATGGATTATATGTAATCATCAAATTGTCACATTGTAAACTTAACTTTAAATAATAAGAAGTGTGTATTCACATTTACCTCAAGTTGTGCATTTTCTGGATCTATCCATGTCTTACCATCATGTTTCTTCGTCTTGGTGTGCTTGAAAGCATCCACCACCGTTATTGGAGCTTCAGACTTTTCGGCCTACAATATAAACATTGTCAATTCATCAAACAAAATATATTTTCACTCGTTCATTGCTTAGCACTCATTATTTACGTATTTGTAATTAACATTAATATTTACAAGTTAAAAATGTACTAATATGTATTCATTCGTTCATTATTTACGCCTTCATTTCTTCCCATAAGCGTTCAATCTCGGTGTTAAGGGAAAGTAAAACATCTGCCTGTGCGGGACTTTAGCCTTCTCATCTTTATATCGCGGCTTCTTGCAAATGTTGCACTCAGTGAGACTTTCATCATCTCCCAAAAATAACATGCAACCAAGAATGCAACAATATATCTTCTGAACGGGAAGGCCCAACCCGTCTATTAGCTTCTTTGTTTGGTAAAAGCTTTCAACCATTGTGTTATCCTCAGGAAGAACATCTTTAAATAATTGACAAATTGTATCGTAACACCTTTCTGAGAGATTATGTTCAGATATAATGTTGAGTAGGCGTGCAGTTGCTAACAACTGAGACATCTTGAAGCACCTACCCCGACCACAAATCCTTATCCGCAGCTTTTAACATCTCAAAGAATTTTTTATCTTCCGGATTTGGTTCTTCCTCGACATGTACGTTTGCACCAAAAGGGCGTACAACATCGTACACCATATCAATATATTGGTCTCTTCCTGCGGCTCTTGTCACATGTGTGGTATCCTCATGTCGTTCAAATCGTCATCGTTTCAGAGGAACATAATCACCATGCTTTTCTCCGTGACAAACTCAATCATAATCATTTGGAGTGAAACCAAATCGCAGGATATGCTCTATTATGGTTGCATTACTTCCAAACATTAAATTCTTACATGACTTGCACGGACAACGCATGTTATTCTTAGACCGATCAGCATTGGGATTCGAGGAACAAATATCCACAAACTTCATCACATTGTCAACCCATTCATTACTAACTACACCTTCGGATTCAAACTTATTATACATCCATTCACGATCACCAAATCCAGACATTGTAGCTAAAATTGACACTGTTTAATACAAAAGAATCACAAATTCAACAATGCAAAAAGCACCGCTTACAATAACCAAAATTTTAAGATAAGTTAAAGAAGTTTTTAATAACAAAAACTTAAAAAAATCCTAGAATCATATGAAATAAACAATTTTCTAGAATCATATAAAATAAAATCTTAGAATCAAATCAAAATTTCTTATGATAAGCTTATATAATTAACAAAAAAATAGCATATAAAAAACATATGATAAATTTCATAAAATAAATTTAATCCACTTTAACTATCAAATTTAACAAAAAAATTTAGCAAAGATAATACAAACTATAAACACAATACTTCTTTAATAATTTACACTAAATCAAATCATTATTATCATGCAATCACAAAAAAATGATCTAAGTAAATTTCACACTTCAAATCTTGAGGGAAAGAATTAGGGTTTAACCTTGAGTTTGGGCCGGCGGAAAGCGGATGGCGGTTGGGCGGGTGGTGGGTCTGACGGCGTCTGGCGTGTAGCGGCGAAGGAGTGGAGGTCGGCGGTGGATGACGAGGGCTGGAGGCGACGGACGAACGACGATTGTGTTCTTCGGGTATAAGGTTTTGCGGTTCTGCTTCGAAGTTAAACCAAATGAATTGGAGATAAGGTTTTAATTTAATTTCTGCGACGGAACTTAGTCCGTCGCAAATGTGAATATTAAAAAATTGACGGTCAAAGCTTTGCGACAGAAGAGCGTAGCCGTCGCAGATCTGCGACGGATGATCCAATTCTGTCGCAGATTTTGTCAAATTTTAAAATTCATTTTTTTGTCACAAAATCTGTCGTAATTTGTGAAGGAATTAATCCCTTGCAGATATTCCGTCGCAAATTGAACCAAATCTTGTAGTGATTGTCCCTCGTTAACTCATGCGTTGAACATTCTAGTTGCCATTGATCTTTAAGTTTCTGAAAATTAAGAAGTATTTGAAGAACTTCCTGCTCCGATACCAATTGTTAGACAAAAGTGCAACTCTAAAAGGGGGGAGTGAATAGAGTTGTTCGCCAGAATGTGCGTTTATTCCGCGTGTGATAACGAAAGAAAATCACAAGAAAAATGTAAACAGCAAGGGAAAGGAGTATACCGTGATTTTTACTAGTTCACCACCTCGTGGCTAGTCCAGTCCTCTGAGAGACTCTCTCAAAGGTTCTACTAATCTTCAAGCTTCAATGGGTGCTTGAAAAATCGATACAACTCAAGAACTTGAATCACACAAGCCTCAACTTCTTACAACAAGACTTGAGTCACATAAGTCTTACAACCAACAAAACTTAAATCACACAAGTCTTAACAAGACTCAAACAAGATTGAGTTTAGAACACAAGAATGAAAGCTCGCACAATTGAGCAAGAAGTGTTGAAATATGAAAGCTCTATGGATGAAAAAATCTTTAGCCCTCAATAAAAATGTTTTCTAACCCTCAAAATAATATCTTTGATGAGGAAGATGGAAGCAAGAAATGAATTATGAGTAATGAAAGATTGGAGTGCAAGAAGTGTATTTTTGATGAAGGAGGATGAGAGATTTATAGGTATGAAGGAAATAAATCCGTTGGAGCCAATGAAGGAGAACTGTGAAATGGCACCAGATAAAATTATTCGATTAAAGTAAAAAGAGTTAATCGATTAGAAGGCTTTGAATTCGATTCCTTAAGCGAAGACACATGCTAATCGATTAATATAAAGGGGGTTAATCGATTAGCGCAATGTGCTTCATATAAAAGTTACGTATTTTATCTTATGGATTGTCTTCGTAATACTCGACTCTCGACTGAGTACATTTTAGAACACACTCAACTATTTCAAAATTACGACATGGTGATGAATATTTTTACAATTATTCGTCTTTCATAAATTAAAAAATTTCATCTCTAACTGTGATATGCAAATGATCTGGAATTCGAAGTTAATCATTATTGTAATACAGAATTGAAGGTCAATGTAATATGATTGAAATCTTATAATGCTATAAGAAATGTTCCTAAGACAGGGTCTCGTTCAAGGAAGGCGACCAGGGAGACGACGTTCACCTTAACGCATAGATTTGAAGCAATGGTTTTAGCAAAAACTTCACAGATGAGCTATAGGGTAGAGACCTTTGACACAGAGGAGAACGAAAGGAACTTAGCGGCCGATCTCCACCTGCTCTACGAGCAAAAAGAAAGGGCTTACATTCGAGCTGAGAATTACCGTCGCAGGTGAAGACATATCATGACCTACGAGTCCGACCCAGGTTGTTCTAGCAAGGTGACTAGGTGTTGGGGAAGAGGCAGGCTAGCAAACCGACCGAAGGAGGAAAATTCACGAATAGTTACGAAGTAGCCTATAGTGCGAAGGAGGTGTTGGTGGACAGAAATTACAAGTTACAAACCCCAAGTGGAGGGGACGTTCAGTGCCTTTGGAATAGTGAAAATTTGATCAGGTTCTATCAAACTGCCTTTGTCAAAGGAAGAGAACTTGTTCATAATGTAATTTTATGTCATAAATTGGCTAGAGGGTATAATAAAAAGAAAATCTCACCAAGATGCATAATGAAATTAGATTTGAAGAAAACTTATGATTCTGTTTGTTGGAAGGCTCTTATCCAAATATTTCAAGTGTTGAATTTCTCCAGTCAGTTTATTCAACAGATTGAGTTCTGCATTAGCACACCTAACTACTCTATCATTATTAATGGAGAGAGATATGGATTCCTCAAAGGAAGAAAGGGATTAAGATAAGGTGACCCTATGATCTTATTGCAGTTATAATTAAAATTATTTCTGATCTGATCTGATTATAATAAAAATAAATAAATAATTAATATTTCTTCTATCCTTAATTTGATTTTAAATTAGGAATTACGAAGCAAAATTTCTTATCTTTTGAAATCATTTTATTTATAAATTTATATATCAATAAAAATAAAGATTACATATTAAAAAATTATATCAAAGATTCTACAAAATGAGAGATGACAAAAATATTTTATTTTATGAGATATTGAATGAAATACATGAACAAACCAAAGTTATAAAGAGAGAAAGAAAACAAATGTAACTTGGGACGGAGGAAACGAAAATTTGGAAGGAGAGAAATTAGAAAACGCTGGGAATGGTGCGCTCATGCGTAAGCTTCTAGAGAGAAGGTGGTGAAGATGCTGAGAATAGGCGTACGGAATTTGGCATCTCTGTGGAAGAGCCCAAACTCCTTTCTCGGTGTCACATCGCCGCCGGCGTCCAATCCTAGAATCGTGGTTGAGACTGTCCGGCCGCTTACTTTCCGATGCTTCTCCGCGAAGCCGTTCGCATCGTCGCCGGCGTCCAATCCTCGAATCATGGCTCCCAGCACGGCAGCCGGACTCGTCGAGGATCTTCTGTTTGATGATGAAATCTCTACTGTTCCTAAGACCGATACGATTCCGACTCCCCTGCAACCTGGCGTCGTCGTTTATGACGGCGTCTGTCATCTCTGTCATAAAGGTAACCGGAATTTCACGTGATAGACTTAGCTTGTTCAAATTGTGTTTCGTTTCCTGGTAGACATCGCTTTTATGTTGCGAATTTTTGGTGTTATTGCTTGTTATATCTGCCTTCATCTACATTTTGACAGCATAAATTTCTGGAGTAGAACAATTGTTTACAGCGTAAAGGGATTGGAACACTCTTCAGACTGGCATTTGGCTAATATCTGGAGTAGAATCATTTTTGTGCTCCATGTTTTTTAGCAAAATATTTTTTCTGTAAATTTAAAGGGGCTCTAAGAAATTGTTGTTTAGATGTATTGCAATTTCGAGTTAGTCGGCATGATTTGTTGAAGACCACCATTGTGTACTGTTTTAAGTAAGAAGTGTGCTTCCTATGTAATTCTGCCAATTTAAAGGAGCATTGTGAAGCGAATTTTAAGATGTATTGCATTCTTCTTGCTAGTCTGCATGATTTGTTGCGACTGCAAAATACACACACACACACATTTCACTAAAAGTTTGAAAAGTCCTTGAATGAGATATTAGATATATATTGAAAATCTTGCATATCCATACAAAGCATCTGGCCTGTAATCACTTTGTCAATTCGTTGATGCCTCATTGTGATTCATATAACAATCAAAGTTTCTGCTGAGTTAAAATCATGCTTGTAGATGTCTCATGTTTATGCTGATGAATTTATTGTGTTTTCTGTTAATAGGAGTAAAATGGGTTATTAAAGTAGACAAGGATAGAAAGATTAAGTTCTGTTGCCTTCAATCAAAAGCTGCTGAACCATACATGAGCTTATGTGGAGTTGATAGAAATGATGTTGAACGTCGTTTCTTGTTCATTGAAGGCCCAGGTCTATACCATCAAGGCTCAACTGGTTAGAAATAAACCTCTATACTTTACCCACTCTCATAATACCTTTTTGCCATCTTTGTATTTTGATCTATTAAATTTGCTTTTCAGTATCTCTCCCTTACTCCCTTGTTATATGGCTTAGCTGTAGTCAATCATCTTTAATTTACCATGTCTGATATTTTGTGTGTAAATGTGATACACTGATTCATGAAGTAAACTATGCAATGGAACTATGGAAGTAAATTTGTTCGGGGGATTGGCATTAGAATCAAAGAGTCGGCAGCATTGTCATGTACAGCTTTTTCCCTTGGGCTATGTTTGGGAACTTGGAAAATAATATGTGGTTTGTGGTTATGAATAAACTATGAGAACATTAATATTATACGCCCTACATCCCATTTTGTTGTACCCACTTTGACTTGGTGTTGAGACTAAGATAGAGAAACTTGACTTTTTTTATGGTCATGCGAGCTAAGCAATATGAAGCACTCAATGATTGTGATAAATAAAAATAGGAAGTATGTACAAAAAAAAAAAGAGAAGCCAAACAAATTAGAATGGAGGGAGTAATAAGCAATTTATAACTATATATATTTTCTTTTGAAAATTTACCGCATCAAAGCATTATCTTCTTACATTGAAAATATATTAGTTTGCATCCCTGCCCTCCATCATATTCAAACCCTCGAAAAACAAATACGGAGTACTCAAAAACTTTTCTACCAGTAATTTACTTTTGGTTTATGTAGTTGATCTTGAGTTGCTTAGTGTAGGGCTTTGTTGTTAATGTTGCTTGGTTATTTGTTTCTGATGGCATAATGACATATACGCCATCCAAAAATATCAAGGTCCTGGTTTGTACCAGGACAGTGAGAGGTCTCTATGTACTTTCTTTTGTTTGTTTCTATCTCCCTTCTTGATGATATTGGGATAATTTTTAATCTGTCTTTGAACAGGTCAACATTACCTTTCTGAAAATACAATTGAACAAAGGTTTCACTAAGTGTTAAACACATGCATTTATGATTATTGCTTTTATTAAAACAGAGAAAGTGTGGTTTTTTCTAGTGAAATAATTTTCATGGCATCTAACATTTAGGGCTTCAAGCTATGTCTAAATGTTTAAAATGGCAGTAAGAAAAAAAATGCTGCGAGCATAGTTTTAAAGAGTTAAGATAAGATTTAGAATTGAATTTGGTCACAAAAAATTAAAATGGTGCATCTATTTAACCCAACAAAGTTTTGTTGTTGTTTACAAAATATAAATGTCTAAACAAAATGAAACTGAACAAATATGTATAAGTGATTTTCTTTGAACTCATTGTTTTCATATCCAAAATTTGCTTCCTTCCAAAGTTCACCTCTGGTTTTCTTCCATATTATATTTGCCTAGCATTTGCTTCCTTCATCTTTTCCTGGTATTTTCTGGGTTGACCCTTAGTTCCATTTCCCGTGTTCAATTATTTTCAACTTATCTTTGGACAAGTTCTTATGTTTTCTGGACTCTGATGATGCAGCTGCACTGAAGGTTTTGTATCACCTGCCATTTCCATACTTCGTACTAAGTGCATTCATGGTTATCCCCAAACCTCTAAGGGATGCTGTCTATGACTATGTTGCAAAGAGACGCTACCACTGGTTTGGGAAAGACAATGATTGCTTAGTTCTTCAGGAGAAAGAGTTGCTGGACCGTTTCATTGATGCAGAAGAATTGCTGAGACGAAATCAATCTGCTCTGTGAATTGCTCTTCTTGATCGAGTTCACGAGGTTTCTGCTGTTATCTGTTTCTTTTCATTGGTTCGCTCACATTTTTATCCTTCATAATTAATAGGATTGGGAAGCCTTAAAATGTTGCATGCATTCTCGTAGATTTTAACCCACCGCGATATATATATATGGGAGTAAATCTGTAATGAAAGGATTAAGAGAGTAGAAGCTATATGAACTCTTAGTCTATATTCAGGTTGGTTGTTAACCTTTCATCACTCATGGAGTATAGGCATTCATAGTTACGTTCTCAAGCTACATTTGTCAACTCAAAACCTCACTTTGTTAGAGAGATGTTGCCACCTCTTGCCGATGGCCACCATTTCCTTCCACCTTGCGCTAGCCATGAATTATAAGGTTTGGTAATGTTGTTGATATTTAATTTATGCATAATGTAAAGTATATTTGCATTTTTTTAAAATAAACTTTTAATTCTCAAAGAGAAACTAACCATGCAATTATATTACAAAATTGTGCGGGGTGTTTGTGAAAACCTGTACTAAACACATCAAGCAAACTCAATCGGCGGAGAAAATGTATGAAGAGAAAAGTTTAAAACTCTTACTTGAGCGCGACAAAAATTGAGTAGTGACTTCGAAAGAAAAATTGGCAACCCCTAAGAGCAGTGGAAATGCTCATCACGGGGGCGTTAAACTCCGCCCACTCAACCGTCATCTAGGCGTTAAATGTTTTGCGTCAAGCGTTTAACGCAGCAAGGCTGCAAATTTGGCATGTTGCCCCCTTCCCCCAACGGTCCAAATTAAAACCTTTGGGTAATTTTTTTTTAAAAACAAATTTTTTAACTATAAATAATTATTATTTTTTAAAAAAATTACACAAAACATATTCTCGTTCTCTCTATAATTCCTATAAAATATATATTATTTCTTTTAATTATCCCTACAAAATACTCAAAAAATGAGATCATCTTTATCTGACGGTGAAAGAAGAGTTCTCCTTCTTCGTAATGTAATGACATTTTTTATTTTTATTTATGTTATTATTATTCGAATCTTATTTGATTAATGTAATTTTTTCTTAAAAAAGATGTACTTTTTTAATGTATTTTTTATTAAATGAATTATTATCATTTAAATGTAATTAATTAATAAAATCTTATAAATTTAATTTTACAAAAATGTGCATTAAAAATGTTAAAAATAAAGATTTAAAACCCCAGTTTGAAGTCCCAGGGCTTTAAATCCTTTCCAGTGAAATTGGGAGTTAAGTTATAGTTGACATGACAGAGAGAAAATTTTTGAAGCCCTGATTTGAAGCCTCTAGGGCTTCACGAGGATTTCCAATGCTCTAAGAGTAATACGGGTACATACATTTCTAAGGCCCCGTTTCGTTCAACTTATTTTTTCTTATTTTTTCTTATTCTTATTAAAATCAGATCAGATCAGATCAGATCCAATCAGATCAGATCAGATCCAATCAGATCAGATCAATACTTATTAAAATCAGATCCCATCAAGAATTATTATTATTATTATTATTATTATTATTATTATTATTATTGTTATTGTTATTATTATTATTATCATTATCATCATCATCATTATCATTATCATTATCATTATCATTATCATTATCATTATCATTATCATTATCATTATCATTATCATTATCATTATCATTATCATTATCATTATCATTATCATTATCATTATCATTATCATTATCATTATCATTATCATTATCATTATCATTATCATTATCATTATCATTATCATTATCATTATCTTTATCATTAT